AACCCATCATGTATATTAGATGTTTCTCCTAATGCTATCCCTCCTCTAGTCCCCGACCCCCCGACAGTCCCCAGTGTGTGATGTTCCCCTCCCTGTGCCCATGTGTTCTCATTGTTCAACTCCCACTTATGAATGAGAGTATGCAGTATTTGGTTTTCTGTTCTTGTGTTAGTTTGCTGAGAATGATGGTTTCCAGCTTCATTCATGTCCCTGCAAAGGACATAAACTTATTCTTTTTTATGACTGCATAGTATTCCATGGTGTATATGTGCCATATTTTCTTTATCCAGTCTATCATTGATGTGCATTAGGGTTGGTTCCAAGTAATTGCTATTGTGAACAGTGCTGCAATAAATATGCGTGCATGTGTCTTTATAGTAGAATGATTTATAATCCTTTGGGTATATACCCAGTAATGGGATTGCTGGGTCAAATGGTATTTCTGGTTCTAGATCCTTTAGGAATTGCCACACTGTCTTCCATGGCTCTAAGTATTTCTTAATCCTCATACAGGCAGACTTTCTTACTAATCTCTTTAGAGATGAGGAAAGCAGGGTGCAGAGGTTAAGAACATGCCGGGGCCACAGGCTTCAGAGAGGGGTGAAACTGGCCTTTGAAGCTAGGTCATCCATCTCTAGAAGCCACACCCTTAAGCCTCTGCTGCAGGAGATGAAAGTTAAGCATAGGCAATGAGGAGTCACTGAAGATTTTGGTTTTCTGAGTCCTGAGCTGCACTTCAGAAAAAACAGTCTGGTAGTGATGACCAAGTGACTAATTCAGAGGGCATTTTGAGAGACTCAGTGAAAGGAATGAAAACCTGGACCAGTGTGGTGGCTGTGGGAAGGGGCAGGAGAGACACCTGTGCAAGGGGGATTCAGCAGGTGGAATCTGGGGCTTGCACTGATTGGATACAGGAGTAAAGTTGCTTAAAGAGGGAGAGGTGAGAATGAGGACACCATTGTTAGGAAACAAAAATCAGGATATGTAGCTGGATTTAGGGAGAATTATATGCCTTCAGTTTTGGATGAGCCAGTTCTGGACTGCTCTCATTCCAGGGGATGTTGGAAACAGAGACTGGATCCCTGAGGAGATGCTGTTGGTGAGCATTGATTAACATCATGGGACTCTGAATGGGCAGTCGGGTAACTCAGAGGATGCCAAGAGAGAATAGAAAGATATAATAAAAGAGGATGAGCACAAGACCTTGGGGAACATAATTACAAAGGATGAGGAAGAACAAAAACCCACCACACTGCAGGAGAATGAACTCGCAGAGAGGCAGATAGATGACCAGTGAATCTGCTGACCCACTAGCAACCAACAGGAGGAATTTTCTGAGGGAGACACAGTTAATGGCACCACCCTTGATTCATATATCAGAGAAGGGGAGATGGAGGATGTTGAGGGGAAGAACCAGTGAAAGAGGAAGGCTTGGTATCACCCTGCCAACTCAGTTCAGATGAAAAGTGTGAGAGGAACTGAGAGATTATCATTTGGCTGGCAGAGCAGAGTTCTCAGGGTCCTGGAAGCTGGCTGCCTTCAAGCCTATTAATGGTGAATGTTTCTTATGCTGTTTTTTGCTAAATTTGACAAACCCATTCACCTTCCTTCTCAAAGTCAACTGAGTTATTCACTCAGTTAAATCCATCATGACTTAAGAAGTATATGCTTAGCTTGGAGAGGGGGTTACATCTGTTCCTGTAGTCACATAATTACTGGAGACATGAAGGAAGATTCCAGCAACTCAGGCCCCTTCTGAACAGGTTGAATACCTGGTTTTTACGAGCAACCAGCTTCAGTTTTCTGAGAAGCTCTGAGTAACTACAAGTAAACTACAAGTCTGTTCTTGAATATGTTTATAATAAAAAAGGAAAGATAATGCAGTTATTTGCTAATTGCTGCAATGATTAAAGCAAGATTTTTCAAGTTTATCCTTTCATAAGACCGGCAACCTTTTGAACACAAACAGGATCTGACAAAAATAGTAATAACGAAAGCGGGAGAACAAGGAAGCAATGCCAGTTTTCTTCAGAACAATCAGTTGTCTCCGACTTCGAACCTACCTGCAGTTTAAAGTTTCTTTGGCTGGGACTATCTTCTGTTTTTTCAGTGCTGTACTGTGATTCAGCCAAACTTCAGCAAAAAAGGAAGTGCTGCGTTATACTAGTATTGAAAGTTATGTAGGTGGATTTTTAAAAAAAAAAAACTACAGCCTAAATTTTCTTAGCAAAAGTCAAATGAGTAACAACACACAGTTTGGAAACATTTGGATAAGAGAAAACAAATATCTGATAAGAGTACTTAAAATCTGACAAAAAAAAAAAAAAAAAGGTGGGAGGAGAGTGAGAAAAAGCCCCTGACAGGTAATGGTAGAAACGTGACAAATGGAAGGTCATTCTAATGAGAGAGGCAGCCTGGTCTCATGGAAAGAGACTTTGGCCTTTGGAATCTGACCTTCCCGGATGTGAATTCCAGGTGTGCAGACTCCTGGCCGCAGTGCTTTTGGGAAAGGCGCACTAATGTTCTGAGCTTCAGTTTCTTAGCACATTATGAGGCATATGGGAAATAGACAGGTGGGTTACTTCTCTCTCCACGCCAGGTTTCGGAGGTTTCAGAGAAGCTGGTCTGACCCCATCTCCCAGTGTCATTGAGAAAACGGAAGCTCGGAGGGGCTGGGTCACTTGCCTGAGGTGTTGCAGCACATAGAAGAGCTCGTTCTCCTAACGTGGTTTGGAACTCCTCACCAGGCCTCCCCCTATCCCAGGTGGAAACTAAATCCCACTGACTCTCCACCCTCCTTCTTCCCCGGACAAGGCTGAGCTCAAGGCTTGTCCCTAAGGCAGCTGGTGAAGGAAAGGCTCGTCTTGGAGGTAGAAGCGCTGGACTGGAGTCCCCGCCTGTGGGCTGAGGGATCCTCCGCACGTGGTTCAACCTCTTAGTTTCTCATTTGCAAAAGGCAGGGTAATTCCTACCACAGGACCACAAGGAAGTTAAATGGCATGATTTTTTGTGAAAGTGTTGTGGAAAGCACTTCCGTCTTCTACCTCATGAATCAGTAGGGAATGAGCGTTCTCAAAATGACCAGAACGATTCCTAATTTCCTTCCTAAGGACCTGATTCCCTTTTTATACATTCTTTTTGTTCTAAAAACAAAACAAAACTTACTTTATAAAGAAAGCCTGAATTCCAGAGCCAGAGTCTATCCTTTAAAAACTTTCAAGCTTTTTAAAAAAAAAAAAAAAAACTTATAAAAGGCATTATACCAGGCCAGGCGCGGTGGCTCAAGCCTGTAATCCCAGCACTTTGGGAGGCCGAGACGGGCGGATCACGAGGTCAGGAGATCGAGACCACCCTGGCTAACACGGTGAAACCCCGTCTCTACTAAAAAATACAAAAAACTAGCTGGGCGAGGTGGCGGCGCCTGTAGTCCCAGCTACTCGGGAGGCTGAGGCAGGAGAATGGCGTAAACCCGGGAGGCGGAGCTTGCAGTGAGCTGAGATCCGGCCACTGCACTCCAGCCCGGGCGACAGAGCGAGACTCCGTCTCAAAAAAAAAAAAAAAAAGGCATTATACCCTATAAGCCACTCATACTTTCATAAGCAAGAGTTGCAATGTGAAAAAACAGTGGTCAACAGTGAAAAAACTCACTTGCTGGGTTTGCCTGTATGAACAAGTATTGTTAATACAAATTGAATCAGATATTACCCTTGTCATTGTTTTCTTCTGGAGTTTCTTCTTTCATTTCTGTTTAAAAATACACAGACACATTTTAAAAAGTAACTATCTTCTATGTTTTATAAGGAGGAGAAGGTGATAAAGAAGAAGAAAATGAACTTGGCATGCAAGTAGGCCTGGCTCTGGAATTCGGGTGGGTCTAGGAAAAAGTACAGACCTCAGTGGAAAACATATACGGGTGTGTGGGAAATCCCTGTAAACTATAAATTGACTACACAGTGCTTAAGCTGGTGTGGAGAGAAACCACAATGCTCTCTGAAACCAGAGAGGAGGGGACAGAGAGTAAGTTTTGCATGAAGAGAGCACAAACTGTCCCTGGGAGATGGAGCTGCTAGTAATTTTTGGCAGGCTTAACTGGATCTATTGAAAGTTACCACTGTAAAACCCCACTGTTGCACCCTGGGGTTCTCTGTGGGATGCCCCTACTTGTATCATCCAGGAACCCTATGGCCTGACTCTGCTTCACCCACACTTCTTCCCACTGCTCCCCAACAAGGCCCCCCCATTCAGTTGTTCCTGTATGCTTCCCCACTTCACTGCCATTGCCTGTGCTGTTCCATTTCCTGGAAAGCATTCTTTCCCTGTTCTATTAGAATCTCATTATGAAGTTTGAAGCCCTTCAAGGACTGTCAAGACTCAGCTTTCCCTTCCCCATGGGGCCTTACCTCTTCTACACTTTCTAAATGTTATCTTCTCCAGGCTGAACAAAACCTAGTATGTCTCTGTGCCGCTAAGGACTAATCAGATGCTGTGTCCTCATTCATTTGGTGTTGGTGCCTCCCATATCTCCCATCAGATTACCAGCCCCTGGAGGGCTGAGAGCACGTTAGACTTGGCTGAGCTAGAATCAGCTCCCTTTTGCACCCTGAGCTGAGTACATGCAGGTCTGCATTTGTAATCTAGCCTAATGCAATGTGAAATTTATTATCTCTCTTTTTACAAATGAGGAAACTGAAAATCAGGGAGACAGCGTCACTCGTCCAAAGCTACCAGCCCAGGTGCCTTTCAGAAGGCATCTCACTCCATCTTCAGGATGATCCCAGGGGGTAGGCTTTCAGACTTTGACTCCTCCTATAAGGTCATCACTTGAAGATCTGAGATTTGAACCCAGGTCTGTCTGGCTCCTACCCTGTACCTTTCCCACTATAGCATATTGTGTCCCTGTCACCAAACTGCCCAACACGAAGTTGAACATGGAATCATACCAAACGAACTTGTGATCATCCCATTTTGTCAAAACTAAGAGAACATTAAAAAAATCAGCAAATTTGACCAGAGCAGTGTATTTATGGCAAGACCAAGGCAAAACTTGATTCCTCATTCTCTGCTTTATCATAACGACTGAAAAGGTTCACAGGTATATTCATATTTAAGGGAGTGTGTAACTGTTCTAATTCCTTATACGTTGCATGCATCATCAGGAATTTCATATGCAGCAGATAGGCATACAGCCAGATTTCTGCAACAGCCAAGGCATTTCTGAGTGGCAACACCACTCTGATCTGGTGGAGCCATGTCCATCTGGACACTGGGGAGCCCCAGGCCAGCAGGGTTTCTGCTAAGTGGACCTTTCCAAATCCTCTCTGGGACAAAACCAGGTTGGGCATCTTCAAGAAAAGATGCTCTTGTAAAGTTGTTGTAGCTGCTTAAATAAGCCCCAAATAGAATCTAGTCAGTCTCTCTGTGCTTTTCTTTAAATTTCCCTTCATAGAAAGCTAAAACTTAAAGAGATTTCAGAGAAGCTAGTCTGACCCCATCTCCCAGTGTCATTGAGAAAACTGAAGCCCGGAGGGGCTGGGTCACTTGCCTGAGGTTTTGCAGCACATTCTCCTAATGTGGCCTAGAACTCCTCACCAGGCCTCCTCCTATCGCAGGTGGAAACTAAAGAGGAAAAGATGAAGCCGAACTCAGAGGGAAGCAACATAATTAAACTGGTTTATCGTTTGGCAACAGAGATCAGAGGAGTGAGTGGAAAGAAACTGAAAATCGGTTAAACACTCGCAGTTTGAAAGAGGCATGTGATTCCTGCTTTTCCTAAGCAGCTGAAATGTGTTTATAGATCCTTCCTGGAGCTCTCTCATTGCTATTGTCCTATAAGGGGAATTCCTGGAGACTGAGCTGGGTGGTATTTGAGTATTCTTCTCAATGGAAAGCAATGAGCCTGTGTGCTACACTGCTTAGGCCACACAATCCCCCAAGCCTGGGCTGCCAGACGTGGTCATCATTGTTCCATGCAGATCATACCCATCCTGTGCAGAAGGTCACTGTAGGAACACATGGCACAGGGAAGAACACGCCCATAAAAATTCACATGGTGCTTGTCTAAACCGAAGGCAGGTGAGATCCATCCACTGTCATGGGCAGCTGCTAGCATGCTCCCATGTGTTTACAATAATTTCTCCACCAAAAGAGGCTGCTTTAAAAACAAACTGCTAAAACCTGTGACCCAGCGCCACATTGAGACAGAAAGCATGGGACTGTGACCGTTTTAAGAATTACTAAAGTATGAGGCTTGACCAGATCATTTTTCTAAGGATCCAGAGCCCTTTAGAGAGAATTCAAGAGAATTTCTGGTGACTTCTACCACCTCTGAAGAATTAAAAAAACTCACGTGTGCTGCTTTCCCGGCCTCTGTGGTAGTTAATTCTGCTTGGCAGTTTTTGTTGTCAAATAGTTTTTTAAAAATCTGGAGCTATCTCAGATATAAATACCTTATGATGCCAAAGGACTGTCTTTCACCCATAAAAACTGAAGCCATGTGCCAGAAGCCCTCGTGGCTCAAGGGCTCTGTCCTTGGACACGGATGAGGGCAGCTGGGCGGTGGGACCGAGGCTCTGCCTGAATGCTCAGCTTCTGCAGGCTAGGGTGGAGAGTGTGCTCCCGCCTACTGGCTCGGCCAGCACAGGAGCACGTATCCTGCAGGTTTGGGTTGCACACAGGCTTTCCCCTGCGGAGTCAGTTCCCCAGATCTCTTCATCACTTCCCCAGATCTCTGGGATCTTCAGCTGAGATTGGGCCCCAGCACCTGGACTCAAGGTAAGGCCCCTTAGGGTGCTTCTAGCTGAGCCGTCAGGGTAGTGCAAAGGAAGAGGGGAAAAAGCCACCCAGAACTCAAAGGAGATTTCTGGAAGATCCAATCAAAGTGATTCACCTTAACCTCAGGCATGATTTTTCCCCATTATCCACTCTTTTTAATTTCAAGTAGTATAAATCTTACTGATCTGAAGAAGACTTCTGCTTCTGAAACTACCAGCGCTTAACAATGATTGAGCCCTACTCTATGAGATTGCAAATAAAAATAAATTAACCTTGGCAGGAAATCAACTCATTAATACTTACACCCTACACTGTAAAGACTGGAACCTCAATTTATCTGCATAAACAGAGGCTTTGGGTATAAAACTAAAATGTAGTCAGTTATGTCAAAGACTGCTTTCAATAGTAATGTACCAAATATGCTTTTGAAAATAGCAATAAGCTATTCATTTAGATTAAATATACAAATAAGTAACTTTCAGAGTTAGTACTAAGTTTTAAGCCTCAAAGACCTTGATTTTGGTGACAATATGTGTAACAAATGCAGCTGTTAGAAAAAGCACACATACTAAGGTTTGTTTCTTTCAAGATTATATATAGTATTATTCAAAAGTCTTACTGTATTTGAAAAGTGACAAGATTTTTGCAATACGAAACAATAGTAGCTAGCTAATACTCTAGTTACTTTTACAGATTGTCTAGTTGGTCACATACCTTAATTTTTCAGGATCTAACCAAGGCCTGGTTAACTCTTACTGGCAATGTTTGAAAGGAATGAAAGAGGTCCTATGTATATTACTCTAGATTAATCTTAGTGCAGGAAGACAAGTTATATCTGAATAACTTTATTTTGTATCCCTAGCTACTATCCTAGTATTTGAAAAGCTCCTTTTCTCCCAGTGTTCACAAAGTCATTTTCCAAACTTGCAAATATTAAAACCTATTAATGTCTAATACTTTTCTACTTGGTCTATTTCCATGTCCTGTTCAATGACCTATCAACTACCCTATTCAATTACCCATGTCACTTGAGATTTCTCCCACCAGAATTCAGGTTGCATATTTTCACAGGACAATTTATTTTAAAATCAGAATGGTCCATAAAACTAACAGCTTTGTGTGCACAGACCTAAAAGAGTTGTAGTAGCTCTGCAGCTGCATTTTTGAACATCAATAGTTAAACAATCAACGTAAATGTTAAAGAAGCAAATTAACTTTCAGAATTTCACGTGTGCTCTAGCATTCACCACTGACCATGCTGGAAGACTTTGAGGTCATTTTGTCCAACCCTCTCATTTTACAGATGAGGAAAACAGGACTAATTGATAGCTAGTGATACTAAATTATAGCTCTTCTAAAACTAGACAGCGGAGTCAGTAGGCTTCTTAATGTGCTCAATTACTGTATGGATTCCACGAGCTGATGAGCGTGCTGTGACCTTGAGCATTTACATTCTGTGGTTTTCAAATGTTTATGTTTCTAATGTGGTATTTATAAACCTGGACCCCAGGAACCTTTACCACTGAGGCTTTGCCAATCCCAACTCTGGGCAGCCCACCTCTTCCATATGCAGCAGTGCTTCGAGGCTGTTCCGCCTGGGCAAAGTCATGTTAGGTGTAAGCAAAGATGTGAACTTAGTGTTCATGCTTGAAAACCTCACAGGGACCTGCCTGCTGGCTGAATCCTTTCTTCATTTCTTGTTGCCTCTCCTACATGTGACTCAAAAGCTAGCCAAGTTTGTTCCACATCCTTCAGCTTGTTCCTCTTACACCAGAGTACCATACCATCATCCCCTTTACTAAGATCACACTTCTCCAATTTCTATCCTCCTCTACTCCTCAATAAACAGGAAGATGCTGTCTGTTGAAATGCTTGTCTTCTAGAATATAAGCCTCATGAGAGCAAATGCCTTGTCTGGACTGTTACATCCCCTGTGTCTAGTATAGTCAAAAACAGTAGGTGACGGTGTGCAATAAATATATCCTTTCATCTTTCCTTCCTATCTTAGGGAAACCAATGTCCCTTTCTTTTCTGTCTTACCCCCTCCAATATTTTACCTCTGAATCATGTCCTCTTTCTTGCAATCTTGCCTTCTTAATTGTCTGCTTTTATGAATTTACATAGGTGTTCAGCCATCCGGCTGGCCTTTCTCCAGTTCTTTTGCTGGAAAATCCTCTCCCCTTCTCTTCAATACAGGCAGTCTCTAAGATTGTCCCTTCAGTTGCTTTCTTCCCTTGGTACTTTTCTTTTTTTTTTTTTTTTTTTTTTTCAGTTATCATTGACTCATATCTGGTCAACTTTTACTTCTAGGTACAATGATTCTTCAATTTGCACCTCCACCCCAAATTTAATTCCTAGATATGGACATACTTGGAGCCAACCCCACCCCAATACCGTCTGCTTTTCATCCAAATCTTCCTTTCCATCCAGGCAGCAAACTCCAGAGTCCTTTCCACTAATGTTCAACCCTCTCTACTTCACATGTGGTAGGTACATGAATTTTACCTGGTGGCAAACCAACGCAGTGATTCACTTGAATTCATTTATTACTTAGACAAATTCAACAGCCTCCTAAATGATCTCCTTATAGCTGCTCTCCTCCCTCTCCATCTGTCTTGCTAGATGAGCCTGGCTTCTTTTTTCCTGCCGAAAGATCAAACTTTTCAGCTTAACCTCCATCACCTTTTAAAATTCATTGCCAGTGTGGTTCCCAATATGGCCTCATATGAACGACAGATACCCCAGTGTATCTGAAGAAAGTAGTCCCAGCTACTGGGGAGGCTGAGGCATAAGAATTGCTTGAACTCAGGAGGCAGAGGTTGCAGTGAGCCAAGATCATGCCACTGCACTCCAGCCTGGGCGACAGACCAAAACTCTGTCAAAAAAAAAAAAAAAAAAAACCCACAAATGGGAAACTTTTTTTTTGAACAGAGCAGAGGCTCCTTTTTTAAAAGAGCAGAACTCAGGTTCTTACTTATATCCCTGTGCCCCACCAAAATATTCTGATTCAATTGTCCTGCATCAGAGCCAAGGCATTGGTTCATTTTAAAATCCCCCCAGGTGAATCTCATAGGCAGCCATGGTTGAAAATCGCTGATATTTGATAAACCCTATGGTCTAATCAACTGGGAGGACTTGAAACATACTTTGCCACCCCATAGTTTTGCCTGGGCAATTCCCCTTGCATGCGATCTTCTTTCTCCTTTTTTTTTTTTTTTTCCTACAGAAAACACATGATAACTTCTTTGATTTTTCCAATTAGAAGGAATCAGTCCTCCTCCTGGAAATCCTTAATACTTTTTAATATATCATATTTATTCATGTGATCTAGGCAGATGCTGTGTTAGATATGGACAAAATGGAGATAAATAAGGCAAGGTTCTTGTCTTTAAGCAGCTTACAGTCTTGCCAGCTCACTGGTTACACATGAACCAGTGAGTATCAACTTTTATGATAGAAATGTCCATGGGATACTATTTAGGCATGAAGGAGTCTATTTTGCTTGGCATAATAACAATTTATGTATATGTCATCTCTCCTATCAAGTGGTATACTTTTGAGGGCTAAGATCATGCATGTCTCACCTTTACGTATTTCAAAGACCACAGTAGTGTAAAATGACTGAATAAATGAGTGAATGAATGATGTTTTGGTAATTAGGAGTCACTGGGGAATAATGGCAGCTCTTAGGAAATGGTACCATAGTTCCATTCTTGGGATAGGGCTGGGTGTGTCCCCGTGGAGTTCACAGAACCATGTCGTAATTTCAGTACTAAATTATGTGTGTTTTACAATTTCTCTCAACCACCCGTTCTATGGTTTATTTAAAATGATAATAGAAATAGCATGTTAGAAACTAGGTCCTGTACTCATTAACAAAAAGAAGGGAACAACAGACATTGGGGTCTACTTGAGGGTGGAGGGTGAGAGGAAGGAGAAGCAGAAAAGAGAATTATTGGGCACTGGGCTTAATACCTGGGTGATGAAATAACCTGTACAACCAACCCCGATGACACAAGTTTATCAATGTAACAAACCTTCATACCCCTTTTTCGGTACCCCCGAACCTAAAATAAAAGTTTAAGAAATTAGATTTTAGAATATATTCAAAAAGTAGGACATTATTTCTCAATTAAAGAAAACATCTGAATTCATATTTTAAAAATATTTTTTAAAACGTTAAGTTTGATCAAGGCATTTACATCCTAGAAAACGAAAACAATCATTTCAATATGCATTCTAGATTTATCAGCTTGCATACATATTTTTAAAAGATTTTGATAGACTTCAATATAATATCTAAAAATGACTACTTAATTTTAGTAAAAAGAGACTCCCACCTTCTGGTAATTGACAAGTACTATGGTCTGAGAGTGTTTAGATTAAAAAATTGTGTGTGTGTGTTTGTGTGTATGTGTGTGTGTGTAAAGTTATCACAGGAAAATCAATACATCAATAGTAGCACCAAAAAAGAAAGCAAAGAAGTTGACAATGGTCTTTCCAAATTAAGACTCGGCATCTTTGATTTTTGTAAGCATAACCTAGAGATTCAATGTGAGCATTTGATGGCTGATGGGAAGAATTGAGGAGGAATAGGGGAGACACCTGACTTTGCCATGATTCTCAAGTTAAATCCTTGGGCCTCTTACAGATGTTGTTGATAAAGCTGCTAAAATGGTCACCAGATGAATATGAACAAGTAGGACCCTCAGTAATTTCCAGGCTAATTTTGTGCACATGTGTTTAGGGGCGAGGCAAATTAAATGAACGAGGAGCTGATGTTCATGTGAAAGTAATTACTCTCCTCTAGTAGAAATCCTGATCCTACAAGTAACTGCAGAAATAATTAATCATAACTAAGAAGCAAACCACTCTCAGGGAGAAAAGCCGTATCTGAACTTCCACCTGCTCTTGGAGGATATGGGTGATTCACAGCATAAGAGTCATCTACCAAGTGATCTGCAAGAGTGAGTGCAGCTTCCAAGAGGGTCTGAGTCAGA